ATGGATAAATAATATTTTACCTTCATTTGATAATGGATGAATCAGAATAGAGAGAAATAGATTATCCTTATTCATTCTTCCATGATTTTATAAATTTTTAGAGAAAAGGCCAAATATAATATGGAAAATATGGAATAAAAAAATATGATTTGTGAATTACCCGGGCCGGGCCTGCTGGTCTCTGATAATAGGATATGGCTTAATCAAAATGCAAATATTTATTAGATTGTGGGAATATTTATAATGGAAGGCACAAATCACTCCTTGTTACAATGTTCTCCAGAGTTTTGAGATTTTATTTATCTAAATAAAATTAATTGAAAATTATACTTTTGAAAAATCAATATTTCACCTGTTAGAATTCAGTTAATGATAGATACTACCAAATCATCGTATAGCAATTTTCTAAATACCAACTTAATTTGCTAAATACCGACCAAAATTTATTAAAATATAATAAGACCCATATTATTTAACATATCGTCGGTCTAGAATTGGAGTGCTCCATTTGCGCAAATGTTTAAAATGAGACTATCAACATTAAAGTATAAAATCAAATGTAGGAAAAGCTTATTGATCAATTTTGACAGAGCTATAACTTTGGCAAAAATTAACATTATTTAATCTAGTTTTTATTTTTATATATATTGGGAATAAATAAGTTATTATCCACTTCTAACTCAAAAATTTTGAAAATGTCGACTGGATCATTCCAATTCTAGGCCGACGATATATTATAACGGAATCACGTGATCTAGTTCGGCCTCTTATATATCATCCCCCCAAGGACGGAACCACCAGGTTGGATTAAGAAAAAAAAAATCTTTGCTAGGATTCGAAACCAAAATGCCGATTAGGCCACAGACGCTTTTTAAAATTCAAAATTTTTTTAATATATTATAAATTGTGATACGGCTTTTATATATATGGCTTAGTTTTGTTATTTTTTTTGTACGATCTCCGGTTTTAAATAAAATTTATAGTTAAATATTTTTCGAACACACTCTTATCGAATAAAAAATATTAAATATTTATCACATCTTATTTACAATGTATAAACGGAATCTATAAACTGTGTAAAATCATGTGGGTTATTTCATTTGTAAACAATAAGATATTAATCTAAATGAAATTTTTTAAAAAAATTACCTAAATTAAATTACAAAGCTTCTTATAAAATCTTAAAATTATTATACCATCACAAAATTTGATTTTCAATATGATTGCCCTGGATGGAATTACAAATAAGATATATTTTAAACTTTATTTAAACAAACTAAAAAATCTATATAACAATAATCAGAAACTTTTTATTAAGATATAAAGGAATAAAAATTTTATATGTAATTATAGTTACTGCTAAAATTACCTAGTTTTCAAAAGGTAACCAGTTACAGTTAAAGTTCCTCAAACAAAGCAACACTAACATCTAACTAAATCAAAGACAAATTGACACTTTTAGACAAATCCTCATAATTATCATTACTATAAAAACATTCCTTACCACTTGTCGACTCATTTTTACCTTCTCATATATCCTAATATAAAGTTTACTATATCCTTTCATTAATATAAATATATAATCAGAATAGCTTTCACCCTGCTCTAATATAAAAGGCTGACTCATAGGATACACTTTTAATCCAGGCTTTAACTTTACTTTGCAATATAGATTTGATAAATAATTTTTCCCCTATAATTTTCTATTACTATTAAATGCTTTATTTTTGGTAAATTTTTTGTTTTGTTCTTGAAAATATTTCTGTTTTCCAGCCATATTACATATTTTTATTCGGTTTTTTCCCCTATTACTCATCCCAGCTTCTTGACCTCCCCCCCCCCCATATCTAAATGACATATCTTTATTTTAACAAAATATTTCTTATTGCACAAAAATTTTTACATTTACAATAATTCAATACATAAAAATATAGTATTAATCGATTAAAATTTCAAATATTAAAAAACTAATTTTTTACTATATAAATGACAAGACAAATATATTAATATAAAATATTTGGAAATTGAATAATAATTGTACAATATAAAATTGAAGATAAATGACAAATTGATTTAATTATTCAATAAGTAAATTAGATGTAAAAAAGCAAAAAAATAATATTATCGCCCAATTCCAATACAAATCTTTGAACTTTTGAAATTAAATTTGTTGCATTAAAATATAGTTAAATTATTTAAAAATTTTTTTAGTAAATTTCGATTTAATTAATTTAATTTTTCTCATGATATTTTTGATGGTATATGAAGTAGTTATCTGCATCGGGCCTAATTTTTCAAGCCCGGCTCGAAATTCTTTTTAAAAGTTTTGACCGGCCTGGCCCAGCCCGAATTTATTTAAATATAGAAATTAATTTTTATAATTACTCAAAATAAACGATATAGGTTATATGGCTTCTACTTTCTATAAATAAAATCACATATTTTTATTTTACATAAAATATTCAACATAAAATTGATAAATTTAGATATATTTTAAAAAATTTCTAAGACCCGACCCGACCCAAATTTTCTTAAAAAATCTTCGGGCCGAGCCGGGTACGGGCTGGGCCTACTTTTGCAGATCTCTAATATGAGGTCAATGGGAATAATTAAAAAAGGATATTAATATAATATTGAATGATTAGAGTAAGGCCGATTTATTTTAATAAAGAAAAACAATATACTAAAATAAAAGAATAATCAACACAGCTTGAGTCATAGGGAAAAAGATCTACACGGCCGGGTCTAAAAAAATAGAACCGGCTTAGATCTTTAAACTTGAAAAAAGTTAAATTTGTGATTTAAAACTTTTTACGGGCCGGGCAATGGAACTTGTATAATTTTTTTTAATCAACAGGGCTAAAACCAGAGTTGTTAAACGCTACTTTTAAAAGTAGCGCACTACCGCTATCGCTATTTGTTAAAAAAAGTAGCGCGCTATCGCTATCGCTATTTGTCAAAAAAGTAGCTCGCTATTAGCTACTATTTTTTAAAAGTAGCTTTAGCTAATTTTTAAGCTACTTTTTATAAAAAAAATTTACAAACAAATTTTTTATTTTTTGCTTATAACGTTATTGTATAGTAAATATATAAAAATCAACATTTATAAATATTAAAATATAGTTAGTTTTGATTATAAAAAAATTTATGTAATAAAAATAAATATTTATGGTAATTTGTTGCATTTTAATAATAAAATCATTTCAATATTATCATCCCCAAGTCTAGAGCGACGATCAGAAAGTATAAGTTTTGCCTTACTAAATAATCTCTCGACACTAGCACTTGAGGGTAAGGTTATATACATAGATTATCAATAATTTTATTTGCAAGTACATCGTATGTCTGGCATCCTATTATCATTTTGAGAGCTAATGCCACAGATCTTCTTTTTAAAGTCCTAGGGTCTAGCCAATGGCCTGTGATTCCCAAATAAGCTCAAAATTATTTAATCAGATCAATTTATAAATATAAATAAGTTTTTACCTTCTGTTATGTGTCCAACTATCTTCCGTGGTACATATATATGATATCTATGATAACTCTAAAGTTATCTGCTATTTTATTCATTAGTGTCTGGCGGCATAAGATTGTTGTACCAGGGGATAGAGTTTTAATCATCATGGTAAATGATGGATTATCAACTAAGGACATTAGCTGAACTATATAAATTATAAAATCAACTATAACTTTATCAGCCAATTTCTGAGAAATATTGTGATTTGCATTATTAATTAATTTGGTGAATTGAATTAGTATTTTTGGATGTAGAGTCGCCTAGACCAAAATTATTTAGATGTTTCTCCATTTCCTTAAAACTTATGAACAATCTTATAAAATAAATATTATTAGAATGTAAAAATGACAATTTACCTTTAGGTGTTTCTTGAGGTTATAGTTACTGGATTGATTTGAGGAAATATTCTTTTTTACATTTTAAACAAATAAATTTGAAACCAGTTTTGGTTATATATTTATTTTAAAAAATTTTCAAATCTAGGGAATGGGAAATTTGAATTATAGCTATAAAGAACATTTTCTTCCCTGGTATCTTCCATTTCATTAATATCATTGTCTGAATCACTTTCAACGATTTGGATATCCATAGACGATGACATTTTAAATTATTAACACGTGATTTAGGTTTATAATACAAATGAAAATATAAATTACAAATTAAAATTATATTTCAATTTCAAAATTAAATAATAAATCATAAAAATTATAATTAATTATGATATTATATTAAAATTTTTATGTTTATACTTACTTTCATTATATTTTTTAAAAGTAGCGAAGTAGCGGCTACTTAGCTACTTTCAAAAAAAGCGCGCTAAAAAATTAAATAATTACAAAAAGTAGCAGCTATTAGCTATAGCTACCAAAAAAGTAGCACCCTACTTTAACAACTCGCTAAAAACCATCAATTCTTATCTGGCAGAGCCGGACTTATTTTTAATTGGAGTCATCGTGAATATAAGCTGACAAACATACCAACTATTCTTATATCAATTTTTAGAACGAGCAAAGATTCTCGATATATTCCTTAACTTTGCTTAAAATCTTTTGAACGTTTGATTCTAAAATTTTACAATTGTTTTAAAAAAAAATCAAAATACCTTTAATCCCCTCCACCACATTAAATTTACTGTTGCTATCGTGCTGCCCCCCCCCCACTCATTTGTGGGAGCCACTTATACTTTATTGATTTTCATAATATTTATACAAATTGTTATCTAACAAAAAAAAATGTAAACTGTAGGACTTAATTTTTGACCAATAAATTCTTGACGGCCTCTGCTTTTTTTATAAGATAAAAAATCGATAAATAATTGTTACCAATTTATTAAATTTAAAACAAATATTTTGTCTTCATTTTCTCCAGTTTTTATTTTTATAAACGCGAAAAGATCAATAAAAAATAATTATTCCATAATATAATAATGCCCTGAACGAACACATCGCATTGCTATGTTTTGTCAATCTTTTTAATAATCTTTAAAATATTAATCTTTTTTAGTAAAACTAAAAAATTACACATTATTAAATTCTGATGCTGTTAAGTTTTATTTTGACTTGACATTTTTAATATTATTTAACTTGATTACTCATAAAAATGGCTATATCTTCTAAGGTAAAACCATTTTTTTATATTTTTTCTCCCGAAAATAATTAGTGTGGGAATTTTTAAGATTCTTTTAAAAATTTCTTAGGCTAAGGTCATACCAGAGCGTTTTAGCGATTGCTAAAAATTGGGCCTTAATAATCATTATAAAAATAGAAATTTATAGAGCTTAAAATATATTATATATATACATTAGAGATCTGCAAAATTAGGCCCAGTTCGAACGGGCTTCTGGCCGGGCCTATTTTTAAAAAAAATCGGGTTCGGGCTGGGTTGGGCTTAATATTAAGAAAATTCGGGCCGGGTCGGGTCTTAGAATTTTTTTTAAATGTATCTAAATTGATCAATTTTATGTTGAATTTTTTATGTAAATAAAAATATTTGATTTTATTTATAGAAACTAGACCCCATATAACATATATCATTTATTTTGAGCAATTATAAAAATTAATTTCTATATTTAAATGGCTGGGCCGGTAAATTTTTTCAAAAATATTTCGGGTTCCGGCCGGGTTTGAACAATTAGGCTCGATGCAGATCACTATATCAATTTAAAAAAAATATAAATTATAGTCAGACTCAATCTAATGTGCAAATCTAGAAATATCCAATTTTTTCTAAATTTACAAAGCTTGATTTCTGGCTTCCTATTTTTATTATTATGCTCTCGAAAGCTCTGGTATGGCATTAGCCTTATAGAGATTACCTTTAATATCAAAAAATGTTATTTGTAATATAAATTTAACTACATTTGATAGACTTAAAATTATCCTAACCATTCATAATAAGTAAAGTGGATATGCAGTCAGTAGCTTAAACTTTGATGAAGAATTTTAAATGCACCATGAAAATATAATCTCATGTTGAATTTTTGTGTGCTGATTAATATTTAAGCAAAAATCTTATTAATAAATTTTCATCTATTATGTGAAATAAAAATTTATTAAATTTTTTTAGTCGTCAACTGAAGCGAATTCTTCTAGCTTTTTGAGGGCAGCTAGAGCTGGGAATTTGGAAAAAGTTTTGGAATTTTTGAAGGGTATATCTGGACCTGGAACAGCTATAGACATAAATACAAGCAATGCGGTATATATATCTATCGAATAATTAAATATTTTTTATAAATATTAAATAGATGTTATTAGGGTTTCTATTCATTATTTTAAAGTGTGGTTTTGATGGGTATTTTGCATCAAATAATTAGAATTACTACTTTAAAAGTTATTTTTAAAGGTAACTAGTTATAGGTTAAATTTTTAAAAAGGTATGAGCTGTTACTATTTACATTTAAAAAGTTACTAGTTAGGGTTACATTTCAAAAGTAACCAGTTACTATTTAGGGTTATATTTCAAAACAACCAGTTATATTGCAAATTACTTTATAAATTATTTATATAAAATTTATTTTTAATATTTGTTTTTTTACAAAATGATTTCGCGATTTTAAATTTTTAATCAAGTTAGCTATAATGAATAGATAAAAAAATAATTGCACTGGAATATATATACCACAATGTAATATTTACGAAAAGGTTGTTTCAAATAATATTTACTTGTACTGAAAAAATATTTAAATAACAATTAATATAATATTTATTTTTCAAAAATTTGGCTTTATAAATTTTAATTTGATTTTACAATAAACTGTTTTCAAAATTGGTGTTTAGTAATAGTTTTCCTCTAAAAATAAGCTTCCACAAATTATTCAAATAACAGACTACAGGCATGTTTGATGTAAGTCGGACATTATATAATATTTTAAGTTTTAGAAATATATAATGAATGAGATATATATAATTATTTTAACATATAAAAAGTATCAAGTTACTTTTATTGTTACATTCCAATAATGTAACTAGTTGAATATTTTCTAAAGTAACAAGTTACAGTTATTTTTTGCAAAAATATCATTATTTACCGATAACTGGTCACTTAACAACAATAAAATTAAAAATAAATTCAAATATTTCCAAGTTTTAAGTGAAACGACTAATTACATGATAATAGTATAATGAAAATCGATTCCTTTTTTACATCATTATATAATGAATTTTGCAAGGCCACTCTAGCCAAAAAAATAAAATGAATTTTATATGTAAAAAAATTGAGGCTATTTTGGTTTTGCAGTCTAATAATAAAATATTGTTATATATTCACCATCTTAAATCGATATACGCCAAAACCTCTCTAATTTGTGTAATCTTTGGGGCTGGTATTTTTGCTTAATTTAGAGAAGTTTACAGACTATAAAGATGTTTAGAGATAGAGATAAATTCACTTTCTGTTGAGATTTATTCTGACTTACATGATATTTTATAACCTAATTTTTTTATCATTTAAAAAAATTATAACCAAGAGGACGATGTACTTTTGTAGCTAATTTTACAATTTCTAATAATAGCTTAGAAAAATACTAAATTTACGCAAAATACGCGATAAAATGAATTTTTAAATAAAATTTGATAAATATTAATTTAATCTATCAGAAATATGAAAATTGTACTTTTTGGAAAAAAATATTTATTAAAACTGAAGAATATAAATCCATTATAACTTATATTTATCTAAAGATTACTCTGGTATGGTGGATAACACTGCCATTAAATAAACTTTTATCTAAAGATTACTCTATTGGTGTGGTGAATAACTCTTCCATTGTCTAACTACTTTTGACTTTTATTTTTGAAAGCATATTACTTCAATGGAACACGAAAAATTTGGTCTCCCAAGACTGCCCGCGGGTCATACTGCTCTTCTACACAAAATCCACTTTATTTAATTAATAGGGACTAACATTTTTATTTGACCAATAATATTCACATTGATGAAAGAAATTATAATCCCATTTTAAAATAATAGCAACTTTAAAAAAAATGGATTGAAGAATGAATATATAGTATATTGCGTTTGCGAGCGAAGTTCGTTATATTTTAATTGTTGAACACAATTTAAAGTATAATTTTATTAAATTTATATGATGTATAAAAGTTTTTATATATTAAAAATTAATAAGAATCTTTTTTTTAATATAAATAAAACTATTAATTTTAAACTTGGCTAATATATTGTTTAAAATATAAGTCATTTATTTTTATATTAAGTTAAATATTAATGAAATTGAAAACAATATTATTCATAAAGTTTTGAACTCAACGCTTTCCTTTTTTTTGAAGGTGAACGCGTTTTATATTATTAATTTTAGGCAGAGAATATCTTTAGAAATACGCGGATCTAACTGTATATCACTCCACGGATCTATACTAAATTTTTTAATTGTAAAATTTTTGCATTAACTGTCTTTTTAATAGCTATTTAGATTTTTTTCAATATAAATTTTTACCTTTTTAATGTAAAATATTTTGAAAATATATAAATATCCTGTTTTATTATCATAAATAAAATAACCTTCTAAATTTATTTTAATATAATATTAATAACTAATAGTAGGGTTGGCAAAATGTAATTATATCAATCGCTCCATTTAAGCCGAATTTAAAAACTGCTCAACCTTATTTTTAGCCTATTATGCCTCTAAGTTTAACGGAATAGATAGATTAACTTCGAGGAAAGCGGGAATTTTTTTAAACTAGCACCTATTTTTAGTTTATTCCTGGTTTGAACCGAATTTGCAAATTATCAAGCGCAACATTAGAGCTTTTTATAATAAGATAGAAAATGGGAATGTATCGTTCGCGATTATTTGTATTGTCATTCACCCATCATTCTTTGACGGGCAATATATATTGCATGATTTCAAATTTAAAAATTATTAATTATAATTATTTAATTATATCACTTCACTTTTGTATAAAACATCAATGATATATTGTCATAAAATACATACATTAAGAAAATAAATTGAAAACATAGCAATCCAAATGGTACTCAAAAATCAAAATACATTATATAACCATTTTTTAAAACATATAATGAAGAACGGATTAAATGCTCTTCATTTGGCATCTAAAGAAGGACACACTCAAATGGTTGCCGAACTTTTAAAACGCGGAGCGAATGTCAATGCTGCTACCAAGGTTTACAATAAATATAGAATATATTAATAACTATTTATTAATACTAAATTTGATTTTCCGGCGTCATTAAATACAGGCCCTAAAAATATGAATGTTATAGTTTTTCTTATTCTTATTCTTTACTTTAAATAAATTTATAAAAATAAAAAGTTTTAAAAAATTGGGAAGTATTTTTCATATTTTCAATATCATATTTTGCACGCCGAATATTATTTTATGCATAACTAAGAATAAAATAAATATTTTGAGCCTGATTTCCTAATTCCATTTAGAAAAGTCGGACTGTGGGCTGCGTCTAGACTGAAAGGCCTGAAAAGCGATTTTATAGGGCTTTAACTAGATTATTGCGTCGCTTTTGAATAGTTTTTCATTTTAATTTACATTATCTAGTGAAACCTCCAATTGGTTATTACCTCCTTTTCATGTCCACTTTATCTCAGTTCTTGCCGATTTCTAATTCTTTTAAAACTTTTACAAATGCTAAATGATTACTTATATTGTCTAATATAATGCAAAGGAATAAATTTCAAATTTTACTTTTAATACGAAATTAAAAATGTTATAAATATTATTAGAATTATGTGCTGATTTAAAATGGAATAATTGTTTATTTAATTTAAAGTCATCAAATATTTTCTATTTTTAGTGTTTTTCCAAAACTAAGGTTAGTGAATGGTTAAAATATATTATTAAATTTTTAAAACCTCAGCCATTGAAAAGCGAAGTTATTTTGAATTAAAAAGTCGAATTAAATTATTTAAAGTAGTGCTGCATTTTTTATTTGTTTGTTCACATTTTCTATTTAATGTTGGGTGAATGGATTTAAGATGTTTCCATAATCCCGAGGTTCTAAAATTGGGAAGAGATAATTTTTTCGCATTTACTACACATAGCCTTCTTTTTGTTATCATCATTTTGCTGTATTTCGTTTTTTATTAGAGATATATATCAGTATCATGATCTACCATTATCCACTAACTTTTGGTCCTCACTTATTATAATATCCTAAATGAATAGATAAAAATTGATATCATGTAAAAAATTTTACCATAATAAACTACAACACCAATATTGATATAATAGTACAGAAAAGTAACTAAAGAAATATTAGATGTAATAAGTTTAGGCGGAAAATTTAAAAAAAGTAAAAAATATACCGCTATATAATGGTCCTCGAAAATACCAAATAATTATATATATTTATCTATTTTAATGTTGGGATTGATATCACACCAATATATTTAGGTAATTGGCATTGATTGTAAACCAATTACTAATATCAATATTTAATAGTATATTATTATTTTAAATTAAGAATATATTGATATTGGTCCCACCCCAATTGTATGGATGGTGCTCAAATTATATAAATTACTCTTAATTTTTTTTATCTATATGACAATTAACCCTTATTATGAACCAACAGAAAGGTAACACAGCATTACACATAGCCTCGCTAGCAGGGCAGTTTGATATAGTGAAAATACTGATCGAAAATGGGGCTGACGTTAATTCCCAATCTCAAAACGGCTTCACACCATTATATATGGCCGCCCAGGAAAATCATGACTCTGTCGTTAGGTATTTAGGGGATAATGGGGCTAATCAAACTATTACTACAGAGGTTTTATACGTTTTTGGTATTTGTTTTTCATAAATTTTATTATTTCGTTTAGAAAAAAATTTTTTTGAAAGGAGGATTATTTATGATAGATAATTCATAAAATTGAATTACTTTCTTAAAATAAAACTTAATGATATTTTATCCGAAGATTTTGAAATTTAAGGAGAATGCTTCTAAATTTTTAATAATTTATCCTCAAAATGTAAAGAATAGCTAATTTTGGCTCCACTTTTTGTACTGAACAATATTGTTTTATATGAGCCTCCCTGATTTGAGCAAACTGATTAATTTATTAATTCTATTTTCAATTCCTTTGTCATCATTCCTTTTAATTTCCCCCCCCCCTTTCATCACGGTTCTTAAGAATGGCCTAATACATTATCTAAAACCCATAATAAATAAATATTTTCTACCTTTTCTATGATATTTTGCAATTTATAAGCAACTTGAAGGGACTTCCTTTCATTTAACTAATCCCGCTTCAATAGTTTATGATGACGCAAATCCCCTGCAAATATTTTTCATTGGTCCCCTAGTAAAAAAATTTATTATTTTTTGAGACCCTATAAATAACAGGCAGACCTCTATACAACCTGTGACTCGTTGAGTCCCAACCCCTGTTATTCTGATTGATATGCAACAGTCCTGCTTACATTTACCATATATTAAAACGCGTAAATTTGTAAACATTCATTAAATGATATAATATAATTGAAAAATTAATACAGTGAATTTCTTAAAGAATACATATATACCTGTTTTAGTTATTTTGATGAAATAATAATATATTACTTACCTTTCTTTTTCCCCTATTCATAAAATCAATTTTGTTAGTTGATTTGATTGAAACTCGTCTCACGAAATTATTTTTATTTTAAAATGCTATTTAACTTTGTTTATATATAAATAATTTTTTAAATCATAAAAATAAGCATTATATGTATTTTTATAAGAATAGAGCATTTTTTAATGGAGGGGAAGATTTCGCTCTTGCCTTCCTTCCCGTAAATGCCACTGAATTGGAGACTTGATTATTCCGCGATTGTATAGCGATAGTATACTGCGGTATGGATGGCGATTTTCTGTTACTCTTCAATTACATTTGCCATCAGCTTCAAGTTTTACAGCATTTAATTTTTCGCCCTAATTGCAGAATTAAATAGGAACCGTTGCATTTTTTATCGAAAAAATTTGTTTACATTTTGTTAGGGAAGACTGATGCTTTTCAGCCATTTTGTTAAATTATGAATTTGGAAATACAATCAATCGTCCGACTATGCTCTATACACACACTTTATTAAATTATTATGATTTCCACTATTTTCCTATATTGGAAAATTGGCCGAAAATAATTAACATTAGTGTTATATTATATTGATTTTATTTTATTAAATAAAATATTGTCATCGTATGAATAGATTAAAAAATTCGTTTTACTTTCTAAGTTATTTACTTTTTATTTCTCTCCTTTACTAGAATATTAAAATTTAATGTCTATTTAAATTATGAAACTTTTTTTTATATAAAATAGATAGTGATATTACATATTACCTTGCCTATAAAAATTATTAATTTTTTTAAAACTATATTATTAATTTAAAGCATACTATAAAAGGAAAATACAATCAAGTTAAAAATAAAATTATTAAATAATATATTACATATGGAGGATCTTTAGGGAACATTCATTTTATCACCTCCCAATCAAGGTGGTGTCGATGCTGCATAATGCTATATATTTTAAGAAAATGTTTTTATGTATATAAATTTTTTGTATTCTGCGAAAATCATGTTTTAAGAATATATATAAAATTTAACTTACACATTTCTATAATTTTGGTTGATTAAGTATTTAGTTTTGAACTCTATATGGTATTTAATATGGATTATATAAAATATTTAAAGAAATTATCGAACTTAAAACGACAGAGTTGCCCCTATAATTATAGATGTTCAACAAGTTTTATGGTTTTAGTGAATGTTATAGATGGGAAACCGATGTTAACTCTATTAAGCTCATTTTTTTTAAATGATAAAATTTAAAAATTCCAAATGAGCCTAAATTTTTAATTTTCCTTTTAATTGAATATTTTATTTTAAATAAATCTTGATTTGTTTTCTCACTAATAAAATTTAGCTCAAAATAACGTTAATAAAGGTACAAGAATATTTTTTAAAGCCATTGTAATATCATACCAATGTTAATTAAAAAAATGTTTTTCTGAACAATAAAAAGGACGGTTTCACTCCATTAGCCGTCGCACTTCAACAAGGGCACGATAAAGTGGTTGCAGTGCTGCTTGAAAATGAAAATATCAAAGGAGCCCTTCCTGGAAATGGTAATAAAAACAACATCGGCGGAGGCGTTAAATTACCGGCCCTACACGTTGCCGCTAAAAAGGATGACTGTAAAGCGGCAGAATTGTTGCTGCAAAATAGGTCTGATCCTGACGTCACTTCGAAGGTTAGTTAGTTTAACAATTTAGGACTAGGGAAATAAAAACAAAGAAAAACAAAAAAATAATTTCTAATAAATACTAATCCGTTTTGATCCTGAAAAATATTTCAAATTTATCCGCCCATTGTTTTAAAAATATACTTAACCAGCTAACTCACAAGCCCATTTTTAAATTAACCGCCCACTACCATCTATAATATGGGCGGACGGAAAGACATTTTGGAAATACATTTTTGTTATATTAAAACTTTTAAAATCTTTTATGTTAATTTAGAGTGGATTTACTCCTCTTCACATTGCAGCTCATTATGGAAATCAAAATATTGGACAATTATTTATCGACCATGGAAGCAATATTAATTTCAAAGCCAGGGTTTTTAAAAAAATTTTATTTATTTTTCTACTAATAAATAGTTTTTTATGGAAATATTGATGATTGATTTATTAAGGCAATTTCGTTATGTATCAAAACATACCCCATTAAAATAACGGTTTATCGGAAAGTAACGTTATTCACAACTTTTAAAATAAAATAGCCCATAAAAATTAATTAAAATCATCAATCTTATTTTTGATACAGGATTTTTTAAAATTGAGTACTTTGTGTCTGCTTTGTTCATATTTGTTGTTAGAGAATCAAAATTTTGGAACCTAGATTCAGGTTTTGTCTGATGTTTACACATTATTTAATAAAAATTTACAAAATAGTTAATAATAATCTGCTTTCAATATGTTAAAATTATAACATAGCACGACATAACTCCTTTGCATGTAGCAGCTCGATGGGGAAAAGTAAATATGGTTGAATTATTAATGAAAGCTGGTGCCGATATCAATGCCAAAACAAGGGTAAATTAATTACGCATTATTATATACTATAATGTCTTTAGTATATTATTTAATCTCAATTAATTTCTATATATTTATTATTATAAAAAAATGTTTGTTATATATATTAATTAGTATTTTGTAGTATTGTTAAGCGGCTCGATTTATCTAAAAAATATTACCTACGCATCAAGATTTCGCTAAAAAATGTTCGACATTTATGTCATATACAAGTTCTCAAGGTAATGTTTTTTGGTTAAAATATTTAGTCAGTCGTTTCAAAAATTGTTTATATCGAGGCTTTTAACAACACTAGTATTTTGATATCCGCTTACTTATGAAGGACGAGTCAATTATATAATATTTAAAAAAAATGATTCTCTATTTTCTACTTGCAAATTTTATTACGATACTCAGACATTTGTTTGGTACCCTGCAAATCTTCTATATCTTTCTAAAGCATTCCTGCATTAAAAATATCAAATTCTCACAATATAGATTAACATGTCTTTATAATAATGAGTTGTTATTTAATATTCAAATAACATAATAATTGAATACCTCTTCCTAAACTTATATCTTAATTAATTTTAACATAACTATTACGTCAAACCGTATTTTATTTGTGTATTATAACAAATCGATAAAACAGCTAAAAATAATCAAAATCAGATCTCTAATATTAACTATTTTATTTTTAAACTTATTATGCGCAGGATGGTCTAACACCTCTGCACTGCGCTTCTCGTAGTGGGCACGACAATGTAGTTCAAGCTATTTTAGACCATTACATAAATCAACCTACTTATATCTCCCAATTAGTTAATTCTAAAACCAAAAATGGGTTGTCTCCTCTCCACATGGCCTCCCAAGGGGATCATGTCAAATGCGCAGAAATACTTCTATTCAATTGGTCACCCGTCGATGATATTACAGTGGTAAGTAATCTCTTTTCAAAATTGTAAGTATAAAATTATCTTGGGAATATATATTTTTTTAAAACTAAGCACATTCAGGATTTTCCTAACTTACTAACTATAACCAATCATAATTTATCCTTTGAACCTTTTTTATTTTTAAATTTTTTTCCTATACTTTATTCCTTTAGGATTATTTGACGTCCTTACACATTTGCGCGCATTATGGAAACATCAATACGGCGGAATTGTTGCTCGATAATAAGGCGGAAGTCGATGCCAGAGCTTTAGTTACAAATAATTTATAATAAAATATTTATAAGTTTTAATTAATAATAAATAAATTTTTCAATTATAAACATCACAAAATTCCCAATTATGAGAATAATAAAAAAACCCAATATAAGATATAACATTTATACAGGCAGCTATATTTTATATTTCATTTGTTCTTGTTTGTAGGATATAAGGGTCATATAATTGAATTGAAATATTATTTAAAAGGTATGTAATTATTATTTAATTTCAACTAATAAAAAATAAGCACATTCTTAAAATTGATTTACGAAATATTTACTGTTCGAAAATCTAACCTTCCAAAAAAAATATTATTTTTTTACGTAGAACGGTTTTACTCCACTTCACATAGCTTGCAAGAAAAACCGGCTGAAAATAGTGGAGGTTCTTCTCTCCCGGAACGCCACTATAACCTGCACAACGGAGTCAGGCCTGACCCCTCTTCATGTGGCTTGCTTTATGGGTCATATGAACGTAGTCGTGTACTTACTTAACTATCAACAGCAGCGCGTTGATAGTGAAGATGTTATAGACGTCAATGCCGCCACTATTAGAGGCGAAACGGCTCTTCATTTGGCAGCTCGAGCCAATCAGACGGATATCATGAGAATTCTCTTGAGACACGGCGCTACGGTCGATTGTCAAGCGAGGGTTAGCACCATGAATATTTATATTATATCGCCTTTATAACATTTAATCTTATTTGAAAGTTTTTTTAGTTCTAGAAATATTTTTATGGTTTTTGATTTTTTGTTTGAAAGTCTTAATCTAAAATATAATTATATTTTATAGATATACCATTCTTAGGCAATTATTTTAGTAAATATAAAATTACATGCTAGTTACCTTATTTATGATAATTTTTTCCTTGTTCTATTCCTATTCTCTCATTCATCTTCTTCGTGTTCATTTATACCTATATAATATATGAGAAATACCCAAGATAATTAATATCCTGCATGCTTTTCATAAAACAATGCCACCATTTAATCTTTTATTTAAAATTACCAGGAGAACCAGACCCCTCTTCACATCGCCTCGCGGCTCGGTAACACAGACACCACTTGTCTCCTACTACAGCATGGTGCTTCTGTTACGGCTTTAACGACAGATGATTACAGCCCCATCCATCTGGCTGTCAAGGAGGCTCATCCCGAAACCCTCTCTGCCCTATTAGGTTATAAATTCGCCATAGAATTTAATATGAAAGGATTGATTTAGGTTTAATGGTTTTTAACTAAACCATATTTGAAGAGTTGAGCGAAATGGGTTAAATTTTTGTTTTAAAAGTATAAATTAAAGAATATCAATTTAAAGTGAATTAAAATTAGATAAAACTATAAAATTTACTTTTTTTTGTATTTTTTCTTTCAAAATTAGATTTAAAGAAATTCTAATTACAATAAGCAGTTTTTTGGCTCTCGTTTTATTCTTCGTTTATATACCTTTTCAAATTAACCCGGGTAGACCATTTTCTCCTTCGTCCATTTTCCACGGTTCTGGTCATTGGTTAAACTTAGTATTTTCATGTCATTATCTACCACTTTCATTTACCTTGTCTTTGGTGCGCCTCGAGGTCTTTTCCACTTTCACTAAGCCGAATCAATTCATACAATCCTCTTTTGCCTTCCGTTCAGCATGTCCAAACCATACCAGTCTAACTGCATACTTATTTTGCTTCTTTTTTATTTTTTGAACATCATTAAGTTTCCCTTTTTTATCAACTAATCATGTAACATAATTATATATATAAAAGCTGAATATATTTGTATATTTTTTGACAACTAATCCGAAGTGATTAAAAACAATCGGGATATAAATACCAATATGATTAATAAATCATGAAAGTCGTTAGGATTGAGATATATGTGCTACCACTAATATCAAGGTAATCGAAAATGACAATCAATTTTTTTATTACGAAATCCTACCTCAACATGGCGGGGAAGTGGCGTCTCCGAAGGGGGGGGGTAATGGTTGAACCAGGAAGTCTGGGATAAAAATATGATCACCTTTTTTTTAACTCGGTGTAAACGCTACCTTAAGGAATTGACAGCAGGAAGAACATCTGATCGTTAAAAAATTGTTCCAAAATTATTTTATGCAGAAATCTTAACCTTATTAAATATTGGCTAAGGTTGGTTCGTAAAAATATATTTGGTTCTAACTTTCTGATTCAAACCAATTTGCATTACTTATTAGAATTATGTCTAGTGAGAAATATAAAATGGACGAGAGGAAGTATATTATTGCAGAGAGTGAATGAATCATAAAAAGTGCAACATGGCTGACAAAACAAACTATATAAAATGAACGATATATGTAAAATGGATGAATCGAGCAATATGATCAACTGAATTTTAGTCGCCAAATATGACTGTAACTCGAAATGACTTACTGAATTAAAGATATTATAAATTTAATAGCCGCCATTTCAAATAAGTTTTTAAAAACTAATATTCATAATAGTTAACTAGTCATTTTCTTCAGGGATTCGAACCGAACCACCGTTAAAACTGTATTAACCGTTCTTTATTATTTACTGAACCTAAATCGTTAAAAAATTTGTCACGATATAACTTGTTAAGTGAATCTTGAAAATGTTTTAATTGTATACGGCTCAGGGCTCACTATTCTCTAGTTTTTTAATTTTTAAATAATTGAATTTATATTAATAATTCAGAACGACTTCCACTTTACGATCATGTGTTAAATGGGTTATCAAAGAAAGGATTTGCCCCACTTCATTTGGCGGCTAGAGCGGCCGGTGATCAGGCCTACCCCATCGCTCGGATACTCATAGATAAGGGAGCCGAGATCGATGTTAAAGGAAAGGTTGGAAAAGTTTTGTATTTTAAAAGGAATTTTTATAACTAAGTTAATAAAAATTTAAAGTATGAATGAAGGTTAAAATGCTTGATGATTCTTTGATTACAAAAATTAAATTGTTATGTTCTTGCCTAAGTTTTATATGATTGAAGTTTTTAGCACTTTTCAAAAAAGGCTAGAATGTTGATTTGATAAAAGATAACCCGAAATAGATTTGTATAAATATTTTTATAAAAGGATTGTGAATACGTGTAGAGTGCACAATATTTTTTTTCATATCTATATCATTTATCCTTGTTTTCCCTTCATTATTAAGAACGACGTTACTCCATTGCACGTGGCTACCCATTATGACAAGCCAGCCTTAGTTAGTCTACTTCTAGAACGTGGAGCCGATCCTTTAGCCAAAGCCAACAATGGTTACACTCCACTTCATATAGCGGCCAAGAAGAATGATACAATCACCATAGCTCATATGCTAGTATCCGCCTTGCCTGGCTCAGATAAGCATAAAAATGGGGTCGATGCTAAATCCCGATCAGGTTTCACTCCATTACACCTCGCCACTCAAGCGGGGAACGCTGACATGACGGAGTTCTTGCTCAGATGCGGAGCTGATCCTCTGGCGGCATCCAATGTAAGAAGGAAAATCTTATTTTTTGATACATATTTTTGTGTGAAATGTCATTTATATATATTTAAATGTAAATTTTTTAATTTTATCTTAATATTCATTAATAATTTGCATTTATAAAATATATAAAGCATAATCCATTTCGTTTTTATTTTTGCATCAGTATTTATAAATATTTTAAGCGTAATAAAGAATTTTCATTTTTTTAAAGAATGGTCTAACGGCAGCCCATCTCACCGCTCAATCCGACACTACCGAATGTCTAGGCTTACTTTGCGACTCTGTGTCTCCTGATTTATTAGATTCATTGATAAACGCCCGCACGGCAGCCGGTTATAGCCCGCTTCACACAGCTTGTCATTTTGGCCGTCTTCAGGCTGTTCGGTTTTTGCTGGATCGAGGAGCAGACCCAGCTGCCAGAACTACAGCCTCTGGGTATACTCCATTGCATCAAGCTGCCCAACAGGGCCATTCAGCAGTTGTATCTCTACTTCTCCAAAGACATGCCTCGCCCGATACCCTCACCAATGTTAATTAATTTTGTTCATTATGTGTTTTATAGTCTACACTTTTTTTTGGGTAAATTTTAACCACATTTCAGAATTTTTGACTACACCTTATGTTAGTGAAATTTTGAAGAGGTTATGTTTATATTGAATTTTTATTTATCATCATTTATCTTATATTATAAATTAACTTTGTAATATGAGTTGTTACGAATGTATTGCTGAATTGATAAGTAACATGCTTTATTTTTTATAACTGAGTTCTTGATTTAATTCTTTTTTACACATTATCAGGCTATTTTTTAAAAAATATCTAATTATTTAGCAAGGTCAAACAGCTTTGTCGATAGCTCAAAAATTAGGCTACGTATCTTTGATTGAGACATTGAAAGTTGTCACTGAAACAATAGTAACTACCACCACGACAACTACAGTTGAAGAGAAATACAAGGTTCTCACACCAGAGACTATGCAGGAAAATTATATGTCTGAATCAGAGGACGAAGCAGGTCATTTTATATTAGAATTATATATGTACTTATAATATTAAGTTTTTTTATATGGAAAAATTTTGATGGAAAAGTGGAAATTTATATTTTATAATCGACAGAAACATTAAATGAATAAATGTACTATTTATGTAAATTGTTCATTATTATATAAAGAAAGAAAAAAATTTAAATAATTTTTAAATAAGAATGCTATTTAATAAAAAGAATTTCTGTTGAAAATGAAAACTAATGAACTTAGTTAAGCTTTAAAAATGAAAATAAATATTTTTTAAAAGATTTTTTTTGCTAAATTTTATATAATATAAAACACGAGTTTGCTTATTGTGTTCTATTAATTAATCTCTTTTTTTATAATAATTGTTTTATTTCATTTTATAATATTTTATGTTGTCCGTTGTCATTCATTGCATGAATCAATGTTCCGCCTGTAAACTACTAACATACTCATTATTACTGTAAAGATTTAGAAAAATCCTTTAAATCCGATTATCTTCCAGCTTATTGCCACTATGAAGGTGGTTTGAAAGATATAAGTGGTAATATTTTGTCATAAATTTTTATATCATATATAATATATACGAAATTGAAAGGTTTATTCTTATAATAGGACATGCTGAATTAAGTGTCATAATTCTAAATGTAATTTAATAATTAACCAATATAACTAATCTAACTTAAAATAAACATAATTTTTTTTAAATGAATAGCATGATAATCATTTAGATTTAATTACTAAAATCAAAAACAAAAACCATATATATATATCCTTGCGGTTTTTGTTAATGTGTTTTATATTAAAAATGGTGTTTTAAATGATAAATTGTTTGACATTAATATGATACCACGATTATATTCTTAGTAACGGATCGCTTTTAAAGTAATGATGCATAACGTGATACGTTATTGGTTTAATTTCATTTAAGTATAAAATATTCGTTAACGGTATAAACCATCCATAGAACGACAGATATAGATCAGAAGGGAATTAGGCGCTTCGCTCAGGTTCGATCCCCAGCTTTGAATAAAAAATATTCTGACACACACCTCGAGCAGGTAGCTTAGGAAAAAGGTTAACTGTAGTTTGACTGATATTGTTTAGGGTTAATTTATATAATGTAATGTTTTTACTGCTACACGACGTTATGTATTGCCGACTTTCTTTTAAATGTATAACAATACAAATCGGCTGGTGACGCGCCATTTTATTTCCCATATATATATGGTAAACAGAAAATAATTCCCCCTAAATATCTCAGTATTAAAAATAATAGGGAAAAATTCCCAGAGAAATAATTCCCCGGAAAAAATTTCTCTGGAAATAAATTCATCATTTTTTCTATTTTGATAAAGTAGAAATTAATAAGCAAAAAATTCCCTTAATAATTTTTTTTTTAAATATTAAATATAACAAAATGAAAATATTTCTTAAAATATTACCATTATCTCAGTGATGATGCACTATTTAAGTTGCAATTTTTTTTTCAAATTTAGCATAAAATATTTTATAATATGATTTCAGTAAAGATGAAATATAGAAAAATGACAATTGTTTTTTTAAATTATGATTTCAATGAAAACAAGAGGGGTTTTGACATGGGTTCTCTTTATTAAAAATATTAAAAAGAAGTGTAATAGATATTTTGGTCAAAAAATAATTTTAAACTTATTTCTTAAAATTTTCATTGTTTTTAAATATTTAAAAAATTTTGAACAAAAATCTCTTTTCAAAAAAGATATATTGATCAAATTTTATCTAAAAATTTCAAATATTTTTTCTAAAAGTTCTTTTATATATAATTAAATCTTTTATAATTTCTGTACATAAAAAATCAAATTGAAATCACAATTTATATTAAAATTATTCTTCAAAAAATTTTGCTCAAAAAATTTCTCAAGATTTTTTTCAAATTCACTAGTTTTAAATATAACAAACCATTAAGACAACGAAACTTATAGCGAATGTTTAAAGCGAATTGATTTTATAGATAAGCTTTTGTCGTGAATCCACATTCGCATGCTATTCAGCGAAGACCATAGCGAGCATTTTTTATAGCTGAACTTTTACTGAGATTTTTTTAGAGCTAATACATAACAGCAAAAATTTATCGCCAATATATAATAGTGAAAATCCTTAAAGAAGGCGAAATCCAAATCCCTAAGACAATAGCGTAAACTATTTTTTGAATCATATATAGGGAACTTATTAATGCAAAGTCAATATGGGAAAAAACACGAAAGCAATACCAGGATAATTGCTAATAGTGACTATTTTCTTAAAATCAATAGAATTTTTTTTATTCCTTTCATATATTTTTCTCATCTTTTTTACTGAATATCCGTTTTCTAGACAATTCCGTTTTATGCCTGAGCATTAAGAAATATTTCTGGACATTCAGTATTTTTTCTGAGCTTTGAATATTCTCAACGTTTCAAAAGTGTTCCAATTTTAATTCTGAACGATTAAATAGGTTAATTCTGAAATATGAGACTCGATAAATATGATGGTAGCTTTGATACTTTATGCAGCGATGGCATAAAAAGTATTCAAGATTTTTAACATTTTGGAAAGTAAATATGACACCAAATTATGTTATAGTTCCTACGATGAAAATAAAATGGTTACAATTCAATGCTCAGATAAAAAAATTTATGGTGGTAACTCTTTTATAAACGGGAATTGAGAATATAAGGAGTAAATTCATTTTAAACTAAGTCTTATTATTTTTCAGCTAACTGAAAAAATTTATGGGTATTGCGTAATCGGCTAATTTTAGCTGACTACAAAACGGCTTAGCCGAGATTTTAGGTGAAAATCGGCTAAGCCTAATTAGGTAAAGCCTAAAAATCGGCTAAACCTAAAAATCGGCTAAGCCCAAAAATCGGCTAAGTCTAAAAATTGGCTAAAATAAATTAGTCAAAATTCTGCATCGATGCTTAATTATTATTTATTTATTTTAGTAAAATAATTTATTTTATTTATATTTAATGTAAATATTTTATTATTATCAACAAATAAACATGATATGATTTAGTATTTTTTATTTATATTATTATATTTTGAAATGAAAATAAATTTATTTATTTATTTGATGTTTTTTTAATAAAAAAAATAATAGGCTGCTATAAAATGTAATATTCTTTTTAATATAATTTATTAGTGATTTTCACAATCTTCTTTGTAAATACATCTTTTGTTGAGGAATTATATTGTAAATTTTATTAAATAAATAAACAATCTTTTAGGTGAAATTTTATCATTTTTTTTATCATTTTTTTAAAATTATCTATTTTTTATTAAATGAGGTGGATTTTATGAAACTTTTTTGATGTTATTTTATATGATCTTTTTAAGGATAATAATTGTCATAATCGTTATTTTATAAGTTTTTTGAATTTTTTTGAAGTAAGTATGTTAAAATAAGTATTAATAACATGTGTAAATATAAATTTAGTGAAGATGTACCAATGAAAAGTGACAATTGTCATAATCGTTATTTTTATTTTTTGAATTTTTTGACGAAAATATGTTAAAATAAGTATTAATAACATGTGTAAATATAAATTTAGTGAAGATCTACCAATGAAAAGTGACAATTCATAATCGTTATTTTTAAAGTTTTTTGAATTTTTTTGAAGAAAATATGTTAAAATAAGTGTTAAAAACATGTTTAAATAAAAATTTAGTGAAGATGTACCATAGAAAAGTGACAATTGTCATAATCGTTATTTTATAAGTTTTTTGAATTTTTTTGACGACAATATGTTAAAATAAATATTAAAAACATGTGTAAATAAAATTTAGTGAAGATGTACCGTAGAAAAGTGACAATTGTCATTATCGTTATTTTTAAAGTTTTTTGAATTTTATTGACAAATATTTTAAAATAAGTATTGATAACATGTTTAAATAAAAATTTAGTGAAGGTGTACTCTAGATAAGCGACAATTGTTATAATCGTTATTTTTAAAGTTTTTTGATTTTTGTTGACGAAAATAGTTAACTTACATCGATATTGATTTTAAAATAGAAAAAGAAGTTTAGCCAAATTTTAAACAAGATTGTCTGATGAAAATTGGCAAAAAATAATAATTTCTAACTTAGGATTAGATATTATGATATAAATTTTGCATATTAATTTCTGACCCGATGAACGGATGTAATAAAATGCCAATTTGCTCCTGTTTTTGGGGAAGAATCTATTATTACCATATGTTTTTTCTATGGCAAATACTCAGTCAATTTTAATTTTACAATCTATATTTTTACCCATTTACATCAAAGAAATTTTAAAAACTTTAAAAATAACGATTATGACAATTGTCACACTTCTATGGTACATCTTCACTAAATTTTTATTATAACAAGCTATTATTACTCATTTTAACATATTTTCGTCAACAAAAATCCAAAAACTTTAAAAATAACGATTATGACGATTGTCGCTTATCTAGAATACATCTTCACTAAATTTTTATTTAAACATGTTATCAATACTTATTTTAAAATATTTTCTTCAAAAAAATTCAAAAATCTTATAAAATAACGATTATGACAATTGTTATGGTACATCTTCACTAAATTTTTATTTAAACATGTTATTAATACTTATTTTAACATATTTTCGTCAAAAGAATAACGATTATGACAATTATCACTTTTCATTGGTACATCTTCACTAAATTTATATTTACACATGTTATTAATACTTATTAATACATATTTTCGTCAAAAAAATTCAAAAAACTTTAAAAATAACGATTATGACAATTGTCACTTCTCAATGGTACATCCACATGTTTAATACTTATTTTAACATATTTTCGTCAAAAAAATTCAAAAATCTTTAAAAATAACGATTATGACATTGTCACTTTTCATTGGTACATCTTCACTAAATTTATTATATATATCGTATGGGGTTTTGGAATCCGTGGGGATTCGGAATCTCTCAATTTTAAATCATTTACTAATGGCGATTTTTGGATTTTAAAAAGCTGATTTTACAGGAATTGTATTCCAGCATGTGTAGAGTATTTACCCTATAAATTTCAGCCAATTTCAGCGATAGACATTTTGTTTTTTATAATTTATATGAAAAATCCATATAAAAATTAATATAAATTAGAAGTAGTTCTAAAATTCATGGCAATATTGTTTGAAATTTACAGTTTGGGTACTCTACCCATGCTAGAATACATTTCCGGTTAAATCGGACTTTAAAATTTTTTAAATGACTCTCGATAAAGGATTTAAAATCAAGATATTCCGAATCCCTACGGATTCCGAATCCCAATACGACAAATATACACATGTTATTAATATTTATTTTAACATATTGTCGTCAAAAAAATTCAAAATACTTTAAAAATAACGATGACAATTGTCACTTTTCTTTGGTACATCTTCACTAAATTTTTATTTAAACATCTTATTAAAAAAATTCAAAAAACTTTAAAAATAACGATTATGACAATTGTCACTTTTCATTGGTACATCTTCACTAAATTTATATTTACACATGTTATTAATACTTAT